AAATATGGACCCTTGTGAGACCAGGCCTTCAGATTTACCAGATCGTCCGGCTCGATAAGTTTGACCGATTCGTTGACATTGCGTCGTCCCACTTGCTGGGCTCGTCTGTGAATCAACCTGTTCAACTTTACTACAGCTTCGTCCCAGTCCCTCACCTCACGAGCCGCCGTCAACAGTTTGTTACAGAACCCTACTCCTCGATTCGCCTACTGGTAATATTCAACCTTGTCTTCGCCCCAGATACGCCTCACGGACTTCAGGCCTTCGGGCATTTTCGATCGTTCCAGCAGATGTCGTCCGGTTGCCTCTCGAACCAGAGCGGTCTCAGCATCATCCTCGCCGGCCTCGCCAGACCCGGCAGCCGGGATCCCGTCCATAGCGTCGTTGGTGGCATCCATAGCTGAATTCGTCTGGTCGACTTCGTCCAAGGCAGCGGCTCTGCGCGGATCTGCAGCGTCGGCATCGGATCCGACCAAGTCGACGGCGTATGCTGTCCGCACCAGGACACCGATCTGAGGCCGTCGAGAAGGGCGCTTTAACCTAGCTTGCTCATACTCCCTCCGAAACGAATCGACTGCGCCATTGCACCCCTTTCCTTTCCCCCGTACTTCAGCCCCTCGCCCACTCCTTCACTTCTCCATTCGCATCACGGAGCATCACATACAAGCCCTGTCCCTATCCGCCGGCCGGCAACCAGCCCCTGTTCCGGGGTACCGGTCGCTCCCCGGCTAACTCAGCCACATTGCCTCGCAAGCCAATCGCTTCAGCTTCAAACTTTGAACGTGATCACGTTCCTCTGTCCGTCCGGTCCATCACTTCGTCTTAGCACTCGTTAGTTTGTTTCCCCGCCTGTTCGTGTGATCGGGTCAGCCGGGCGGTAGTTAGTCTAGTCGTCCGTGCACCTTACCTAATCGGACGTCTTGGTTTCGATCTATACGGAACCTTTAACATCGGCGATGGAAAGGGTGGAACTCCTTCGGTTTCTGGTCGACGAGTGCGGCGCCGACGCGACCGCCTTGCACGCTGAGAAGCTACCCTCTAGACGGTGTAGAGGCCCTTGGAGGACTGGGGCTAGGCATCTGGTTAACAATACGATGTCACGCCATCCTGCTGCACTCGAAAAGCACGACACTGATTGAATGGATGGCGTAAATCCGGGATAGCTCCTCCTTATAGAAACTTCGATAAGATTCCCAAGTATCGGCGAAACAGAAAAGTATAAAGTAGTCGCTCCCCCCAGTCCTCCTTGTTGAACAAAGATATTATAGATACTATTGTAAATCCTTAAGGGGAGCCTTTAAGGATGCTTGCGCTTCTTGCACTTTGCTCTTCAGCTCATCAAAAGGAACGGTCCTGCTTCCCTCTGGCATATTGATGCTCAAGTTGTTAGCTTCAACATACCATATCAGGTTATCCGAAAAGCTTCTTTCGACCACAACCTGGTATAAATTATTGAAAGACAGGAAGTCCATTTTGATAAGAAGAGAATAGAATCTTTCGTCCGGCAGGTCCGAGCGCCCACTTAAGGCTGCAGCCGCAGCGGACCTGACGTCCCGGTCCGGATCTTTCAGCAATGCCGCCACGTCCTGGAGGGTCGCTTCTGGCATGTCCGAGCGCCAACCCAAAGCCCAAACCGCATTAGACCTGATTTCCGAGACCGGATCTTTCAACAAAGCCGCCACGTCCTGGAGGATCGCTTCTGGCAGGTCCGACCGCCTACACAAGGCCCGAACCACAGCGGACGTAACAACCCAGTCCGGATCTTTCAACAAAGCCGCCACGTCCTGGAAGATCGCTTCTGGCAGGTCTGAACGCCCACCCAAGGCTTCAGCCGCAGCGGACCTGACGTCTCGGTCAGGATCTTTCAGCAATGCCGCCACGTCCTGGAGGGCGTTTGGCAAAGCTTTATGGAGACGTTTGAATACGTGAAGGACCGCTGTTTTTAAGCTTTTGGAAACGTTGTCTCCCAAACAGGAAGCTGTATGATCCATGATTGTTGGTAAAATATTTGGTCTTTCCATCAGCGAGTGTAGAACCTTCTCTTTCACGTCCTCGGATTCTTTTTGTAAGACATTCCCCAGGATATGTTCTGGAAACTCCATCTCGGCGGCTAATCGTGAATGTTGTCGCAAGTGGCATTCGAACAACAGCCACTGCTTCAATTGACCTTCCAGACCCTCTCGCAGCTGGTCAAACTCCGGCGTCTCTTGCGACGGAGCCACTTCGCTCAGGCAATGCATGACCAACCGTTGATGCATTGGACCCAAGAGGTCACGCGGCTCGTCCTCGATCGTGCGGAAGAAGCGACAGAGTTGGTCGGGATGGGTGTGAAGCAAGCCGGCGACAAAACGCCAAAAAATATCATAGCGTGCGTTGTATTTGTGTTTCTAGAGGTAGCTAACAGTGCATCGTTCTTGAGGGGAGTTGACAGGTCGGCCTTGCCGAGTGTTTCGAGGTTCGAGCTCCAGGCATTCGAGATCTTGGCGAGATGTCCACCGCTGTACAAAATACCGTGCCGCAAAATACTCTTGGAAGGTCAAGTGTAGGAAGTGATAATGGTGGTCGCTGTGTTTAGCCGAGGGGTCTGATGTTCGTAGAAAGGAGAGGCGTGGCAGAGTCTTGTCGAGCAAGAGAGTGGGCACAAAGCGGTCGGCAATGGCGTTTCGATGTTCTGACCCGTAGTCGATTGTGTCGTTGTGCAGTCCAGCGAAGGCAAGGCACTCCAGAAAATAGATCTCGTCCTTTACGAAATTCTCGATCGTTGCCCGGCTAGCCGTTTGGAGAAGGCGTCTTCTTATCGGTGTCCCCTCGTGTGTTTTTTCCAATCGCAAGATATCCTTCTTCCATAATCGATGCTCGATAGCTTGGTAAAGGGAGGTCATGGTCTGCACGGATTTGTTACCGAAGCCTTCGTCCCAGGTGAAGCAGAGCGCGTCCAGCTGAATGGGGATCCGAACAAGACCGTGAATGAGCGGTCGTTGTTGAAGAAACGACTGGATCTCGGCGAGTTTCTGTGGATCGTGGAGGGCCTTTCCGATGTACTCCGTCACTTGATCTGGATAGAATCCTATCGTTTCCAGTTCGACATCGAGAGGACGGAGGCCAGCTAGAAGTTTGCCGTATGGCCGGGATGTGATGATAACGTTGGGCTGATTCAAGAGAAATTTGAGAAATTCGCACATCTCGTTGTCTGCATCCAAGCCCTCGGAAACTTCATCCAGGCCATCGAGGACGAACAGAGTTGTACCAAACTGGGTGGTATGTAGTGCTTCTTCCAGTTCTCCGGCAAGTTTACCGCGGTTCGGCGCATTACAGAAAAAATCCCGGAGAAACAGACCCTCAAGGTTGTATCCCTTGTCGGGCTTGCTTTTCAGGGTCCGCAAGGGTACCCAAAGTACGCGGTCGAATAACTGGCTCCATTCGCCCCATGTGCCATGGGCAAACTCATGGACAATCTTCTTGCACAAGGTGGTCTTGCCAACTCCGGCTCGTCCTCGGATCAGAATTCTCCTTGGTTGTGTGGTGTGGCCATAGGGTCGCTTGCGCGGGTTGAAGATTGTCGGCAGCTCGACCTGGATGTTCTTGTCCGGTGTCTCCACTTTGAGTCGCGCTTGGAGCGTAAACGGAGAGGACTGTTGGGCTTTATCTCCTTCCTTAGAACGGCCCGCATCGCTGCCCGGCTGCTCCACAATGGCGAGATTGATGTAGCACTGATCCATCGGCAGCTGGTCGCCCGAGAGCCGTTCGATCTTGAGCCTGCCCGCATTATAGATGTTATCGCGGATCCAGGCGTCCGCTTGCTCGAGAGGACTTCCCTCGCGAATATCTGCGAGCATCTTTTGAATCTGTCCAGCAACACGATCGTAATCTAGACAGTCAGGGCTCGGAAATTTGTTCATGAGGACATGAGGTCGATCCAATGGTAATGGGTCTTGGACTATGTCCAAAGTCGCCGACGACGTATCGACCAGCTGTTGAACGTTAGTAAACTTCGGCTTGTTACAAATATAAATACGAGGTAGAAGAGTCGGAGCGGCGAACGTTTCACGACGCTTACCAGTTTTTCGTTGGCGAGCCAGCTTGGCAGCAAAGGAAACGCTTTGCGCGGCAAACTCGTCTTTCCGAGTTCGTAAAAGTTGAACAATAGGCAGGGAGGATCTTTGCGTTGACACAGGTGAGTGAACTTGCGCACGAGTGACTCCAAAGCGGAAGTCGATCCCTTTAGGCTGTCGAGCAGCTTGTTCACTTCTTGGGCTCGTATCAAAGCCTGGGCCTTCAGACATCGCTCCGCCCAGGCTGCTACTTCTTGGAACGAAGTGCCTCGGAAAGGTGTGGCAAGGAAGAGAATACCGCGTGTCGCTCTTCGGAGATAACGATACTTTTCCGCCGCGTCTACAAGAGCCTTCATTAAGATGATACCTCCGAGACACGACGCGATAAAGAGAATGGGTCGGTCTTCTTTTGCGTATTTGCTCGTTGCGGGGGGGCGTCTTTGGATACCGTCCAACAAAAGCAGGGCAAGCTCCTCCTCTGTCTTTTGCACCAGGTCTGACGGTTGCCATAGGTCGGCGGGCCAGTCGCATGTGAAGATCCGGGCCCGTTCAACCCTGCCCGGGAGCATGTTAGGATCCTGCAGCCAGTTGACTCTCTTTTCGGGAGGGCCGCGGTCTACCCATGACCATGTGTCTGGCGACTTCGTGTCGAGGCCATGGATAGCGATGATGTCGATGTCTGTCTCCGTTTTGTCCTTAGGGTGGACTTGACTAAGACGGACACCTCGTTGTGTGCATTGTCGCGTGGATCCCGTTGAATAACTGTGATCTGCTCCGGACTGGGACTTTTCCTCCGCACAGAAAGTCACCCGGTTGGTTCCGTGTTGGGCGGTGCTGTTGCTTGTCGCCGGTTCGCCAGGGGGATCGTTGGCAGAAGTCTCCGGCGATATTCGCGCTCTCTTCTGAAGAGGACCGTCCGGACCCTGATCAGATACCTCGTTCAGTCGTTTCGTACCGGGTTGGTCGGATATCGCAGAGCTCTTCGAATACTTAGTTTGACTGCATACACGATGGCAGGGAGAGAGACATACCTGTCGAGCTAACTCGTCCTGGCCAACGCTGACTGGATCCATTACGGCCACCAGAAGCCCGGCATCCACGGTCCCAGAGTGCGGCGGCCAGTAATTCTCTGCGCACGAGTCCCCCGCTTCTGGATGCTGAGCCTGAGGCGGCCTGCGACCTGGCCCCAAAAGCACAGGGCTGCTTTGTGGCCTTCGTGTGGAATAGCGGCTGGCGATGGATCAAGAAGTCCGTCCGGTACGTAATTGCTTCTCGTGGATGAGACGACGTGCGGAGCGTCTGGGTTGGTCGTCCTTGGCGAGACTCGGTCGCGATGGTCAGGCAGTGAAGAGCCCCGCAGTATCGCGGCGAAGAGCCCCGCAGTATCGCGGTGAAGAACCCCGCAGTACCACGACGCGTCCATGTCCAATCATTCTCAGCCCTATCAAGTCGCCTGCAACCTGCCTGGTCGCAGCCTAACTCCTGCGACCTACCTGAAATCGCGCAGGCTGCGGCACAGTCGCGATCGAACGAACGTGTCCAGGCATACACGGACGCATTGGCAAGACCTGTCAGCAGCATCACGTCGCGTCAAGCACGAGAAACGACGTGTCTGCAGCTGTCCCTGATCGTGTCAACCCAAGAAGACAAAACGGAGGCTAAACGGTAACGTAGCAGAGTCCAGGCTCCATCTATCGTTGTAGGCTGGCCCGTCTGCTAACAGGTTAGGCACAGTTGAGGGCGGAAGCGCCGGCGCGTCGTCGATCAGACCTCGAGCAAATCTTGTTGCCAGTGCGCGCAGCCTCCATGGCTCAGCGACCTTCCCAAATCTGGCCGGTAAGCTTGGCGGCTACAACAGCGTTCGAACAAGCCTATCATCGCACTCTAACAATATCACACGTAGACCATAGCCAGTGCGGCTGGGAGTGAGAATAGCACCGCGGACGCCTTGCCCGCTGCCTACCACTATTACGAAAGCACTGGGAGCAAGAAGCAACGCATCGTCGACAATCCAGCTCACAACGTGGTACGCTTCCTAGAGGCAGAGCTGTCCCTCAAAGCCCTGGAGGAGATGCTTTCGCATTTATGGTTTGCCGGCGCGAAACGCCCCGCCACGCAGCTGCACCTGCAAGTTGCCATGGGCCGACAGATCGCCGTCGCCGACCGGATGGACCTGCACCTCTTCTGGGATCCCAGCGGCAAGCTATTTCTCAAGCCCCTTCCAAAATTCCTTTTCGATCGAGAGTTTCTGCAGAACCACCTAGAGTGCCCCGACGCCTGTGCGCGCAAGGACCCCTCGCAAGCCACATGTAAAGCCGGGCTGCGGAGCGTTGCTTTCGGCTTCCTTTATACCTACGCCTGTCTTATATCGTCGGAGACCGATTTCTTCGTTGCCAGCAAAGCGCTCCTCCTCCCTCGCAAAAGAGACGGCTCGGCCATCGAATGGTCAGAATGGAAAAAATAGGTGCTGCCGGACCTAGTGCGGCGTCGGCTGTTGTGGCTGGTCGTGGTGCCGCCAACCCTTTTACTCCAGCAGCGCGCCGGTACACCGGGGCGGCCACTTGGGCGCGGGCGCGTCGAGGAGGCCGCCGGCGTGGGCAGGCACCGCAAGCTCAAAAAAAGCTCCAAACTTCTTCCTATTTCCTCTCCACTTTATAAGTCAGTGCACCCCCTGTCCGGCCACTTTGTAGCCCCACAGCCACGATCATCGCGCGTACTTCAATTCTACGGGATTCCATCAATTTTGATCCGTTTTCCTTACTTTTTGCTGCATTCGAATGCTGAGATGCCAGAGAAACAGTATACGGAAGAAGATATCGAACGAGCCGTCGCCGCGGTGCACGCGAGGGTCGGAATCCGGAAGGCTGCCCGGACCTATGGGATACCCAAGTCGACCCTGCAAGACCGTCTAAAAGGCGCCCTACCTATCCGGCAGTCGCAAGAGCAGTATCAACGGATACGCCCTGAGCAGGAGAAGCGCCTAGCAGATTGGGTGTTTCTCCAGGCCTCTCTAGGGCTCCCGCCAACGCATGCAGAAGTACGGTACTTTGCCCAAGAGATCCTTCGCCAAACGGGCGACTTCCAACCCCTCGGAAAGCACTGGATTCGCGACTTTTTGCACCGATACCCAGAGATCCGGACCGGAAGGGGCCGGCGCATAGAGTTGGCACGAGTTAAAGGGGCTACAACTACGACAATAAAGCAATGGTAGGAACGCCTGCAAATATCGGAGGTGGCCGGGATCAAGCCGGAAAATACGTACAACGCCGACGAAGGGGGCCTGCAGGAGGGTAAAACGGGCAACGGGCTTATTTTAGGCCTCGCGGGAACCCGGCTTTTGCAAAGGAAAGAGCCCGGATCTCGCATTTGGACCTCGTTTATCGAGTGCATTTCGGCCACTGGGGTTTCGCTTCCTCCCCTCATCATTTTTAAAGGGAAAAGCGTGCAAGAGCAATGGTTTCCAGAAGATTTAAGCCCTTTCAAAGGCTGGGAATTTACTGCAACAGGTAGCGGGTGGACTACTGACAGCACCGGAGTCGAATGGTTGCAAAAAGTCTTCCTTCCGGGCACCCGACCCCCTGCCCCTGCACCACGTCTTTTAATACTGGATGGCCATGGATCCCACGTAACCAAAGAGTTTATGTATCTTTGCCTCCAGAACGGCGTTTATCTCCTTTATTTACCCCCCCATACCTCCCACGTGCTGCAGCCCCTCGATCTATCCGTCTTCAGCCCTCTCAAACACGCCTACCGCAAAAAAATAGGGTTCCAAGCTCTATTTACCTGCTCAACTGTGGTCGGAAAAAGGCTTTTTTTACAAGCCTATGCCTCTGCAAGATCATAAGTCCTTACCCCTTCTATAATTAAGTCGGGGTGGTACGCATCAGGCCTTTGGCCCCGGAATATCCGAAAACCCCTATCGACCCGACTTATACTCGAAAACTCCCAACAAGACGATCGACGAACCCAAATTCAACAATCTGCAGAGGATAACAGGGCCAAACGACGTTCAGCGGTCCCTATTCGGATGTCCCAATCCCATGGGAAACTCCCAAACGGTCAAAAGAGCTGGCCACCCAAATCAGCACTATCAAGGCCCGGATCCCTACAAGCCCTACAACCCGGCTTTTTTTCCGAAAGCTTCAAAAAGGCTACAGCGTACACGAATACGACTTGGCTACAGCTCATCAAAAAATCAGGCAGTTGGAGGCCCAATTGGAGGCACAGCGGCGTCGCAAAAAGAGAAAGGTGGCCACGGATCCCAACGAGACTTTTGTGAATATCCGCCGCGTTGCAGAGGCGAGGGGTAACGTTAAGGAGGTAATGGATACAGCGTCTGAAAGAGTGTCGGATTCTGATCAGGAATCTATATATAGTTGCATCGAGGTTGGTTGAATTGGGATAGAAATTTGCTGTTGAATGCACCGGGTTTGGTGGTGATCCGATGCGGATTGGTGGCCGGAGTGGGGGGTGGCCGGACAGGGGGTGCCCCGACTTAATTCCTAAAGAAAAAAAGCTCATTATCTCGCCATTCTCTGAGCAGTGAGGTTCGAACCTCGCTTGTGAACATCAGAACCTCCCTCAAAAGGGTTCACTCATACGTAGACACCAAGGCAGCCGCTGGGCGCGATCCGGAATTCCTTGTTGGAGCAGCCCTACAGTAATCATACCCCTGGGATGTCGCCTCCTTGAAGCCTGTTGTAAAGTCCCTCGTGTTCTTGGGTAACAGCGCTAGTGTCGCCGTAATAGATTCTGTCTGCCTCGATAACCAGCTCCAAGAGCTTGATAGCATCTCCGAGCTTCGACCTAAGCCGCCTCATCTTATACTGTGCAAGAGCGATATCAAACGCTCCCAGGTATCTACACACAGTCAGCACACTCGTGGATCCAAAATAAGATTCATGAGCACGTACGCCTGCCGAGAGAATTTCCGTAGGGCATGGTGTTTGGCGAGCAGCTCAATCCGTTTCTGCGCTCGCTTTGCCGCTTGCTCGAGCACCGCATATGACCACGCTCCACCAGCCTTCAGCCGACCGGTGTTGCCCATGCAGGAGTCTTGGCAGAGCTGATGGTGATCCTTGAGGAATCGTTCGTGAGGGTGGCTGAATGGATGGCTAGGATCGCATGCTGGACACTGGCAGGCGAAACCCCACCGTCCCAGAAGGAGCTGTCGGAGCTCACGAGGCAAGAAATGCGCGATGTAGGAAGTGGTAATCTCTTCGCCAGTCTCAATATCTCGGTTGGCACGCATCACCTTGTAGCCATCGTTGTCGAAGGATGCCTGATCAGCGTTCGGAATACACGAATGATTGATGCGAGAAGCATTCGGGAAGAGGCCTCCAGGCGAGCCGGTGTCCGCGTGGATACCGAAGCCGTTCGTAGTGATGATGTCTTCCAGGTGCATGATCTCGGCGAGGGAATCCACGCCCTTCCCACTCGATAGGACGCTGAAAGCTACCGCGAGCAGTGGCCCTCCTTTGCCGCACCGCGGGCCCCAGGATGTCCCGCTGCGTTGCACCTGGGAGCACAGTGAATCTGCGGTACCGTTGCGCGAGATCTTCGCCCTCGTCATATCGGAAAACGAGCGGATCACGCATAATCATGGCATCGCGGGGTATATCCCTGGCCGCAAAGACGCCTAGGCCCTTGTTCGGCGAGCTGCGGATTTCGAATGCAGGCGGGGCGCCTAAAAAATAGAGTCAGGTTTTAGGAATGCCCAGTAGGGGTAGACAGTACTTACGACTTGCTGGGTGTCGGACAGCGCGTGGTGTCAAGTTGCTCGGTGCTCGGAAGGCTGATTCCAGCCATGTTAATCTCAGCCAGGCCATAGGCTCGAAAGCCTAACCCCGCTGATCGCAATGTCTGTGACGAGAGGCAAGAATAAGGAAAGGCTCAGTCGTTTGCCAGTTGAAGACGAAAATCGGCGAGCAGAATTCCCCGCTCTGGATACGGAGAGAGGCGTGGCGTCGAAAGCCGAAGCGCGGCTTCCGTTTGCTACAGAGCCGATCAGAACCTTCTCTGGCGAACTCACTCCGGTGGGTCCGCTGACGTCACAGCCTGCCAGGCATCGCTTCCAACATTGCTCTGTTCGCTAGCAATTCCACAATCGCCAACCCTTCCACCACCAGCTTCTTTGGCGGCTTTAGCAGAAGGCTATGAAGCTATCGCCCAACGGCTCCTCGGCTACGGCGCCGGCGTTTACGCGTAGGGCAGAACGTACGGGAATGTATTACAGGCCGTGTCACGGGACCAGACCATGGTAGTACCCGTTACACCACGAAGGCAAAAGAGGAACGTTGTTGTAGCTGGGACTACAACCGTGCAAGGTCCTTATTAAGGAAAGACTGCACCGTGACAGGCCGGTTGGAAATGGTCAAGGATTCGATGGGTGCTGCGGGGACAGTCATTAGGGACGCGACAGTTAATGTGTTCAAAATGAGGCGGAGTTGTTCAGATGCGTGTAAAGGAGGTAGGTAAGTAAATCTTAGGGAAATGTAATGGCAAAAAGTTGCTGTTGTGCTGGTAGGGAAATGCAGGGGTATTTATGTTCAGACGTAAACAAGCCGTCTGGCCCGTATTGACCCCTTCTTTGTGTTGGCACTGCCACGTCGGACGAGCCGGCCTGTAGGCGGAGCAGTACACCCTCCAAGGATTGTAAGGTTACGGCAAGGGGGTTAGCAAGGGTGTAGGCCGGGGGGGGGGGGAGGGGGGGGTAGGGGTAGGTA